TTACTCAACAATACAATTTCTTTCTTTCTTATATTAGATAATCACTTCATCTACTGGAATTATTTTCAAATAAATAACAAGATCATTTTCACAAAAGACTAAAGAAACAAAGGTGTAATCAACTCAGCTTGACACATCACACAGAACTTTTTCTACGAATTTGAACTCAATCTAATTTGAGAGTTGGCCTTGACAATTAATACAAGTCTATATAGTCTACAATATGTTAAAACTATGCAAAATGTCATTTTATAAACAAATAAAGTGAACAAATTAAAGAGTTTTACTTTTATTTTGTTTGTTTGGTATGATTTTCTAGAAATAAATATGCATAGGGTCATTAGTCAACTCTTTCTGAATTAGCTAGCTAATTAATTTTAGCTTTAACGCCAAGCCACCTCTACCATCACAAGTCACATGACATATGCACATAGCTAAATAGCTTATAGCTAGAACACTTTCTTATACCTTAAAACTTCAAATTAAAAAGTCCATTCAAATTTTCAACTCTAGCTTTTTTAATTTTTTCATTTCTGTAGAACTCTCTAGAGTTAGACTCCTTTGAATTTTATTTTTACATCTTAAACTCTCCATCCTTTTTCTATCCGCTTATTCTTTACGTTACTCTCAACACAACATACACTTACAATATTACACCATAACTTGGCTTCTTTATTTCTCTCTTACATCCCAAGCTCTCAACTTAAGCCAACATCACCTCAAATGGGCACTCTAATCGGGCACGTCTTACCGGGTTTCGGGTTCTTTGCCATTGGATTATGGCACCTCTTTAACAACCTTAGGCTACTAGCTCTTAAAGGACCTTATAAATATAAGTCCCTTCCATGGTTTCCTTCCAACTTCCGTCAAGTTCGACACCTCGAACTCTACTTGATAATGATAGGCTGCTTCTCTTCCGTTGCTATGTAACTCTTCATCGGCCCAAACCGCCATCAAACCTTCGACACTGATGGGACTATCCCTTCGAACCACCTTCACAACTTCGAACACTCCTCTATTTCTCTCACTTTCTTTGTCTATGCTTTTTTTGCCCTCGCCCTCGACAAGTGGGGCGGCCCTAGTCTCCCTGCCCAGCACGAAGTCCTTCAGTTCCTAGCCGCCCTCGCATTTGGTCAACAACTCCTCCTCTTCCATCTCCACTCCGCTGATCACATGGGCGTCGAAGGCCAGTACCATTGGCTCCTTCAGTTAGTCATCTTCATTTCTTTGTCCACCACTATCCTTGGCATCGCGTACCAAGGTAACACCAATACACGTGAAACAATTATATACTGTACTCCCTTCGTCTCTATTACGAGTAATATATACTTTGACTTTCTCACTATGTATGTATTTATTACCTTGGTTGATTTTTACTGAAATAAAATTATTTTTATGAGCAGGAAGTTTTGTGATTGCGTTCACAAGGTCCCTTAGCATACTCTACGGCTAATGGTGATGGGGTTTGCTTTGTGGACCCCGAGTTTGATTTCAAAAGGGTGTTTCATGCATATAGAAGAAGGCCATCAAGTGGTAAGGTGTGATGGAAAGGAGTCCCTTCATCGCGCTAAGGCGCTCGTAAACATTCAGTTTAGTTGGTTCTTGATATTGTTGGCCGTCTTTGCGGCGTCATTTTATGTTTTTATGATTAAGATTTATGGGGATATTATGGAGTACAGTCTTATGGCTTTGTCCGATCAACAGGAAGAAGATGTTGAAGCGCGGAAGATTGGTGGAAATTTCACTGAAACACGTAGTTTTGTGAGCGGGACAGGGAATAGTAATAATAAGGCTATTGATCATATGGAAAGGTAGACGGGTAACATCTCTGCCAGTTCGGATTTAGCTGTCACATTACTCAATCAAGTATGTACGAAAGAAATAATCGAATTCTTTTGTAAGCAAATAGTGTTTAGGAAGGTTACTAGTGGTGGTGAATATTATTGTTTATATTTTTCAACTTTCTTCATTATTCTCCTTAAGTTTGCACTTGAATTACTTTAAGTTGGATCCCAAAATGTGATGAGTGATGATACTTTTTGGATGTTAGCTTGATATATTCGAAGATTATTGATAGGCTAAACATAAAAGGAAGTTTCGTAAAGTTTTCTGAGGGAAGAAATCAAGAATTAGAAGGACGTTTTGTCATCTATTTTTTGGTATCATTTTCTTGGCTTGTACCTTAATTTCAAGGGTTAGTTGTACTTTTTTATTTTTTTTTTATTTTTTTTACGGGTTAATGTGCTTTTTACTCTGCTTTGTATATTACTCAGGCACTTATTTAAATTGTTATTGCTTACGTTAATGTCTTATTTGTGTACATAAACACGTACTAAAAATCACAATTAATGTACATGTGTATTTTCTTTTACATTAATTCCGTGTTATATTAGAACATTTTTATAAAATGAAATGATAAAAATCCAAGCTATATTAGAACATGAAGGAAACAGATCATTATCAGTAAAGAAGTGAAGTATATGTTCTCGGTATAACTTCGACCGAGCAATGAGATGATATAATTAAGAAAGTCATAATTATTTACTTGCATAATTAAATGTTACTTGCACATTTCTTTTAATTTTAAAAAATTATATATTACTTGCACATTTTTTTTAATTTTCAAAAAATGTTACTTGCACAGTTCTTTTTAAAAAGATGTTACTTGCACATTTCTTTTTAAAAAAATGTTACTTGCACAACAGCACTAGTTATAGTGACATGAATAGGCCAAATAATGACAAACTAATGATGGATGATGAAAAATTGTTCTCAACAATAATATTTGTACAAATATCTTAAAATAAATGACATGTTTGACTTTTAATCTTTTTGTTATTAAATTAACCAAACCTCATAGTGGTTAGCTTATTATTGGTTAGAGCATGCATCTCCATTAGAAATTCTTCGTCCTTTGTCAATAAATTTAAACGATAAAAGGCCTTAAAGCTAATTCTTGATTGAAGAACTAGCTTGGATATTAAATGAAAATTTAATACCAAGTATGAAGTAATATAGTCCCAATCAAAAGAATGTCTTGTAGCTAGCTTCGTCCAAGAATGTTTCTGTGAGTTTTCTTCTAGCTTCTGTCATAGTCTTTATAATCCGATCCTCTTGTCTTTTCTTAGCTTGAATATATCCATGGATCACATTATTTATAGAATACACAATTTGTTAAAATATAACGTACAATTTTTTTTTACTTACATACTACTTTACTTTGATCAGATTAGACGAATTGAACATAGTCATGGTTATATAAGAAGTATATATATAATCTAGCCAACTAAATAAGAATCTCTTTATTAACCATTTAACCTTGTGATCTGGAATCAATTAGTCAAATAATGACTACTTATAAACTAATACAAGTACTTCATACTTCTTAGTTCGTACATATAGGAAATAAAATAAAGTTCATGACATAATTTGCTTCTTATCCAATGGGATTCCATAGTTTTGACCAAAGAAATAAGCAATAATATAAATACAATCGAATATGTCACCTGAATATTCTCTAACTTCAAATGTTATCTGTATATATTTGAATATTCCAGTGACTTAGAATAAGGGTATACGAAAACCAACTGTGAATGTGATTCAAAGATTTGAATAAATGGCAGGAGGCTTATTATCATAATTATTTTTTGAATTTTTTAACCAAAAAAACCTTATTGAAGAAAATTGTTTAATACATGAGCATATGTAGAGTAAATAAAAGATACCTCATATTTAAAAAAGGGGTCTCTTATATTCCAAGCAAAGAAATACATAATTTAGAATAAAAGGTTTGTTTTATCAAGAAACATCTTATTTAAAAAAGGGGTCTCTTATAACCCAATCAAAGTAACCCTTGTTTAGAATATAAGGTTTCTTTATATTGATTAAAAAAAAAGGATTTGATTTTAGTGATGCTCTTGATCACATTTGTAGTAGTGTGCAAACATTAAAGAGTTTTACCTTTTTATCTTTTTTTGGTTGGCTTCGCGCGCGCCTTTTAGGAAAAACATATATGGGTGACGCTGGTTAAAAAATTAAAAAGAATTAAAAGATAACTTTATACATTAGGAAATTAATTAGAGATTCTATAACATTAATATATATATATTTTGGTATGTACATTGCATCCAAATATTGTGTTACACTTTTGCCTTACTTGCAACACACCATTTTGACACATATTTTAAGAAAGATACTTTGCAATCTGTACTAGATGATGTAAACAAACTATTAACAAAATTTTGTCATCAATAAGAAGAATGTAATAAGTTTATAGTGTTTAAACTTTATAGCTTAATTTATGCATTTACCTAGTCTAGTAGTCTACTTACTTTTTCAAATAATGTGTCAAAAAGGTGTAAAAAAGTTAAAGAAGAAGGAAAAAAAAAAAAAAAAACAAACACAGAGGAAGAGTTATTTTGTCCACGGCTAACCATTAATTTTCTAGTTAGACCAATTAGCAATTCTTTCTTATATCATGCGAAAGCATAGTTGATTAAATCTTACATTTTGCATATGATAACTATTAATGTAATTATTACTCAACGTCTACACCAATCCTTATCCTACTCCTAGACAGTGCTCAACGGCATCATCTAAAGAAAAGTAGTTAAACTCTATAAGAATTAAAAAAAAAAACAAATAAAAATAAAAAATAAAATAAAATAAATAAATAAAATTAACCTCATGTATTACGTATTTAATTTATTTTAAGCTGACATCACTATTAATAATATCATTCTTTCTTTATGTCAAAATTGGGAGCTACATAACATTAGGTGTACGATGTAGTGATTTACCACCCTTAAATCGTCATTAGTAGTTTTCTCGTTGGTAATTACATTATGTCAAAAATGGGGTTTATTACATTACTCCGTACATTGCTGCCTTAATGTTGTAATATTCATACTTCATGTCAAATGACCTTCATTGTGAATTAATGATGAGGTATTATGATTGGATAATTAAAATTAATTTTTTGTTATTTTTGAAATCTTTATTACTACTACAATTATAATACTCCACATTGATGTTGATCCCTTAAACTTGTAATTTTCAAAATACTACTACACAAATTTTCATAATTAAACTTTCCCTCCCTTTGTATATATATTCCCTTATTCCTTTACGTTCCTCTCAACTCAAACACATAAATTATTACACGCACTACACTACACCATAACTTAGCTAGCTTATTTCTTTGGTTCATCTTCCCTAGCTTCCTCTCAATATAAGCCAATACCACCTCAAATGGGCACTCTAGTCGGGCACGTCTTACCGGGTTTCGGGTTCTTCGCCATTGGATTATGGCACCTCTTTAACCACCTTAGGTTACTAGCTCTTAATAAAGAACCTAAATATAAGTCCCTTCTATGGTTCCCTTCCAACTTTCGCCATCTTCGGTACCTCGAACTCTACTTGATAATGACAGGTTGCTTCTCTTCCGTTGCCATGGAGCTCTTCATTGGCCCAAACCGCCACCAGCCCTTCGATACTGACGGGACTATTCCTTCGAACCACCTTCAAAACTTTGAGCACTCCTTCATTTCTCTTTCTTTCTTTGTCTACGCGTTTTTTGCCCTTGCCCTAGACAAGTGGGGCGGCCCTAGTCTCCCTGCTCAGTACGACGTAATTCAGATCTTCGCCGCCCTCGCATTTGGGCAACAACTCCTCCTCTTCCATCTCCACTCCGCTGATCACTTGGGCGTCGAAGGCCAGTACCATTGGCTCCTCCAGTTAGTCATCTTCATTTCTTTGTTCACCACTATCCTTGGCATCGCGTACCAAGGTAATACCAATACACGTATAATTATTATTTATTTTCCCTTCGTCTCTAATTGTTCATGCTACTTTGACTTTCTTAGTACGTGTACACAACATATTTTTATTATAATTTTTACAAAACTGAAATTATTTTTTTCAACAGGATGTTTTGTGATTGCGTTCACGAGGTCCCTTAGCATAATCTACCAAGGAGTATGGCAAATGGTGATGGGTTTCGCTTTGTGGACCCCGAGCTTGATTTCGAAAGGGTGTTTTATACATGAAGAAGAAGGCCATCAAGTGGTCAAGTGTGATGAAAAGGAGTCCCTTTATCGTGCAAAGGCGCTCGTAAACATTCAATTTAGTTGGTTTTTGATATTGTTGGCCGTCTTTGCGGTGTCGTTTTATGTGATTATGATGAAGATTTATGGGGATAATATGGAGTATAGTCCTATGGCTTTGTCAGATCTAAAGGAAGAAGATGTTGAAGCGCAGAAGATGGGTGGAAATAAAAATTTACTGAAACGCATAGTTTTGTGAGTGGGACCGGGAATAGTAATAATAAGGCTATATATCACATGGAAAGGTAATTTTTTTTTTTAGTGTTCCATCCGGTTTATCCTTAAAGCTAATTCGAATTAAGGGATCAGTTATGGGTGGTTGGTTTCAGTCCCCTTTTAACTGCTGTTGTGGGGGATCGAGCACAAGTCCTCCCTACCAACTGTAGTCTCAATCACTACTACACCAATAACTAATTGGTCATGGAAAGGTAAATGGGTATGCAATAACTCCGTCGGTCTAGATTTAGTTGTCATATCTAAAATCTGTACAAAAGAAACATCGAAATAGCTTATGTTGATATTTCTTATGTAAATACACGAACACTATAGTTTACAAATTGTAAAATAATTATGTTGTTACTTGAACAAGTTATAATGATTGGGATTAGCGACACAATGACATACTAATAACGGATAATGAAATCTTTATCGAGTAAAGGTAAAATACGGTCCCTAAATTATTGTATTTGTGCACTTTTAGTCCCTTAGCCACCTTGTTTGGTATTTGTCAGCCCAAAGTTGAGGGACCTAGCCTAATCACTAAAAGTTAGGGACCATGACTTTTTTTTTGTCAGAATTTTATTTAAAATTTCCAAAACAGCCCCATCAATAATAAAAAAATAAAAAAACAAAAATTCCTTTATTTTTTCTTCAAAAATATTAAAAAATAAAAAATCCTCTATTCTTATTTTATTTTATTCTTATTATCTGTTCTTCTCACTAACTCTAATTCAATAAGAAAACCCAGAAAATCTAAAACACCAAGAAATTATGAATTAAACCTAAGAAAATTAGTCTTCTTTAATTTTGTAATTCACCTAGAAAAATTCGTCTTCTTCTTCAAAAAAAACATCTCTGATCTTCCTTCTGCCAGTGAACTTCTTTCTCTGGCGGTGTCATATGGGTGACTCGGAGAAGAAGAAGATGAAGAAGACAGATTAAGCAACCTCCCAGATAACCTCCTTATCACCATTCTCTCTCTCCTCTGGACCCACTTCACCCACCTCTCCTTCCCATTACAGTACAAACCTCGACAAACCACCGTTGATCTCATACTTTCCCAGATCTCATACTTCACCCACCTCTCCTTCCCATTACAGTACAAACCTCGACAAACCTCGACAAAAAATCAGGTTAGGGTTGAGGTTTTCAACCCAAAATGTTAAATGGATCAGGTTCGGGTTGGGGTGTAGCTGACCCGAACACGAACCCGACCCGACTGGATCCCAATGCCACCCCTACTTAAGTACTTTTACCTTTTTTCTTCTTTTCATTTATTTATTTATTTATCTCTAACTTTTAATTTTCTTTTAAATAACTTGACATCTTTCCTAGTGCTTTATTCTATATTACTTTTATCGGTTAGAGCCATTAGAGGCCTTAGAGCATCTCTTATAGCAATTCTTCATCCTTTGTCAAACAATAAACGAATGCTGTATCATATGAATAATCTTGGAAAAGCTAAGTCTTGACGTACTGAAGATCGAATAATATGATTAGATATTATAAGAAAATTTAATACGAAGTACGTTGTATCAATGAACCCACTATTTCTAGAATATTTTGTTGAAAAATACATAAATACTTTGGTTTACATATTGCTTTACTTAGACTGACCATACTAGGTGAAGTGAACATAATAGTTGTTGATAAGATGTTTACTCTAGCCCAATAATTAAGAGTGGTCTTGAATTATTTAATTGAATATTGACTCTGATAAACTAATTAATATTCGTACGAGTTTTTCGAACATATAAAAAATTTAAAATAAATAAAATTAGATGATATATTTTCCTTCTTATATTATCCAAGGGATTCCATAGTTCTTAATAAAGAAACAATATGAATAATATGTCACCTGAATATTTTAACTTCAAATATTTATTATTTTCCTTTGTGTTTCGGAAAAAAATGAGCTAACCGGACCTTGGAGGGGTGTCTGAGAACCTCGAATTTGGGCCTTGAATGGACCTGTAAAATGAACCCCGAGCCCCGGGGGTTGAACCCGGGGCGGAGCCTCCGACGCCCAAGTTAGTTGCCAAACAATGCATATTTTGAGAGGAGTTTAGGGGAGAGAGTGGAGGAGTATGGTCATCTTAGATGATAAGAGTGACCTCCCTTTACCTTATGCCCTTTGAGGGGTATTTATATGAGTACATAAGTGGGTTTATGAGCCCTAAAATTACATATGTGGGCCGTTGAAGGTCATATTGATGTATTTGACTTATTTGGGTACTAAAATGACTTATACCTTTTTTATGGCCTTTGGGCTTATATGGGTAGAGTTACCCAAGACTAAAATGGGTATGACCATTTTAGTACCCAAACAATTAGCCCAGGCCCCAAATAAGTCAAATACATCAATATGGCCTTCAACGGCCCACATATGTAATTTTAGGGCTCATAAACCCACTTATGTACTCATATAAATACCCCTCAAAGGGCATAAGGTAAAGGGAGGTCACTCTTATCATCTAAGATGACCATACTCCTCCACTCTCTCCCCTAAACTCCTCTCAAAATATGCATTGTTTGGCAACTAACTTGGGCGTCGGAGGCTCCGCCCCGGGTTCAACCCCCGGGGCTCGGGGTTCATTTTGCAGGTCCATTCAAGGCCCAAATTCGAGGTTCTCAGACACCCCTCCAAGGCCCGGTTAGCTCATTTTTTGCCGAAACAATTTGGCGCCGTCTGTGGGGAGACGAGTACTACTACGCATGAAAATCCACTAATTCATGGCTACTGTGTTCTATCACGAAAAAGGGTCAAAATTTCTAGCAAATTTAACCCAAAATTATTACTCCTGTCAAAAGAGGTAATCATTCTTGCAAATGGTGGAGATGATAGATAAACATTTTGATTTGTCGCCAATCTAACCACTACTAACAAGGTACTTCGTGCCTTTACAAAAAAAATTGGGAAATATTCCATGAATATGGTCAAACCTTAATTATTCTTGAAGAAGAATAAAAGCTAGATCTACGTGGCTCTAATGGAAAGCTCACAAAAGCAAGCCTTTCATTCACACCACCAAGTTGAAGAGGTAGCAGGTGGCATGAAACATACATAAAAAATCAATCAAGTTTATGTAAATTCAATGCTTGCCGAAGGAAATTGCCATTGTCTTCATCACAAGCTTCAAGGCTCACAACTCCACCACTAGAACGACTCACCATTTCATCCTAGGCAACACATGCCGAGGTCAATGGGGGTCAAGGCTAGTATTGTGAAGTGAGCCAAATCTCTTCACATCACATCTAAAGTAGCAGCCGAAGAAGATCCGAGGTTGTCTACCATTGTTGAAGCTTAAAAAAGCTCAAACTATCACCAATCTAAAAATCCGAAGCAAATAGCTCGGATAAGCAAAAGGAATCCGAAGCTCATCGAGCCGAGGCTATCCGAAGGTGTTTCAGCCCAAGCCGAAGGTGTTCTGGGCAAGCCAGCCGAGCCGAGACCGGTGTTTCGGCCAAGCCTAAGGCTTTTCAGCCGAGGCTATCCGAAGGAGTTTCAGCCCAAGCCGAAGGCGTTCTGGGCGAGTCGAAGGTGATTCAGCAGAAACCAAGGGTGGTACAGTTTACCGCTCCCAAGTTAAGGTCGGTAACCATTGCCGAGCCGAAGCTCACCTCTTATCTCCTGGCCGGGGCTAGCCATAGCCGAAGCCGAGCCCAGCCGAGGTTTACCTTCGCCGAGATTCGAGCTCCCAGCCGAAGCTCACAACCATATGAGCCGAGGGTGCTGCCGAAGATGGTTTGTCTGAACCGAAGAAAGAGTAATCAACTCTTTCTATCTTCGGATCAAGAATAAACTCTTTCTATCCTCGGATCAAGAGTAAACTCTTTCTATCTTCGGATCAAGAGTAAACTCTTTCTATCCTCGGATCAAGAGTAATAAACTCTTTCTATCCTCGGATCAAGGGTAAACTCTTTCTATCCTCGGATCAAGAGTAATAAACTCTTTCTATCCCCGGATCAAGAGTAAACTCTTTCTATCCTCGGATCAAGAGTAAAACTCTTTCTATCTTCGGATCAAGAGTAAACTCTTTCTATCCTCGGATCAAGAGTAATAAACTCTTTCTATCCTCGGATCAAGGGTAAACTCTTTCTATCCTCGGATCAAGAGTAATAAACTCTTTCTATCCTCGGATCAAGAGTAAAACTCTTTCTATCCCCGGATCAAGAGTAATAAACTCTTTCTATCCTCGGATCAAGAGTAAAACTCTTTCTATCTTCGGATCAATAGTAAACTCTTTCTATCCTCGGATCAAGAGTAATAAACTCTTTCTATCCTCGGATCAAGGGTAAACTCTTTCTATCCTCGGATCAAGAGTAATAAACTCTTTCTATCCTCGGATCAAGAGTAAAACTCTTTCTATCTTCGGATCAAGAGTAAACTCTTTCTATCCTCGGATCAAGAGTAATAAACTCTTTCTATCCTCGGATCAAGGGTAAACTCTTTCTATCCTCGGATCAAGAGTAATAAACTCTTTCTATCCTCGGATCAAGAGTAAACTCTTTCTATCCCCGGATCAAGAGTAATAAACTCTTTCTATCCTCGGATCAAGAGTAAAACTCTTTCTATCTTCGGATCAAGAATAAACTCTTTCTATCCTCGGATCAAGAGTAATAAACTCTTTCTATCCTCGGATCAAGAGTAAACTCTTTCTATCCCCGGATCAAGAGTAATAAACTCTTTCTATCCTCGGATCAAGAGTAAAACTCTTTCTATCTTCGGATCAAGAATAAACTCTTTCTATCCTCGGATCAAGGGTAAACTCTTTCTATCCTCGGATCAAGAGTAATAAACTCTTTCTATCCCCGGATCAAGAGTAAACTCTTTCTATCCTCGGATCAAGAGTAAAACTCTTTCTATCTTCGGATCAAGAGTAATTAACTCTTTCAATACTTGGATCAAGAGTGTTGCCTAAGATGAACTCTTTCAGTCCTCGGATCAAACCTTGGATCAAGAGTGTTGCCTCGGATGAACTCTTTCAGTCCTCGGATCAAGTGTAATTAGCTCTTTCAATCCTTGGATCAAGAGTGGTGCCTCGGATGAACTCTTTCAGTCCTCGGATCAAACCTTGGATCAAGAGTGTTGCCTCGGATGAACTCTTTCAGTCCTCGGATCAAGAGTAATTAACTCTTTCAATCCTTGGATCAAGAGTGTTGCCTCGGATGAACTCTTTCAGTCCTCGGATCAAACCTTGGATCAAGAGTGTTGCCTCGGATGAACTCTTTCATTCCTCGGATCAAGAGTAATTAACTCTTTCAATCCTTGGATCAAGAGTGTTGCCTCAGATGAACTCTTTCAGTCCTCGGATCAAGAGTAATTAACTCTTTCAATCCTTGGATCAAGAGTGTGTTGCCTCGGA